CGCAGAAAACAATCCACCTATCGAGACTCACTGATGAATGAAAGCTGTACAGTACTATGATGACTGTAGACGCCAGTTATGTTCACCGTGTGGCTGATGCAGACATTAGACATAGTGACCCACGTAGAGGAAGACCAACAGTCAGACTGACGAGGGTCACCAACAACGAGCCGATGAATTAATCAAACAGAATCGCCTCGCACATCTTGCCCGTTGACGTGAGCTGCTGGCTAGTGTCGTTAATCCTCGGTACCGGCAAGTGTGTCAGCATGATGACTGATGCGATAAAGGACGAAGGGTCCTGAGAGTTGTTGAGACAAGAACGTGAGGGCGACCAAATCTTACGCAGCATTGTGACTGAAGATGAAAGCTGGGCCCACCATTACGACCCAGAAGGCAAGAGACAGTCATTGGATCACCGACACAAAGGTTTACCTGGACTCAAAAAGATCAAAACCCAAGTGTCTGCCGGAAAACTCATGCTGACTGTTTTCTGGAATGTTAATTGTTTTGACGAAACCAACGGATGCCACCATTAACTGTGACTTCTCCCCTAGCACGACCTCACACCAGTGCAGGAGTACATTACACCGCTTGAGTTTCACCTCCTTGGACCGCCCATCCACCATAATTTCCACATATTCTCAAAACTTACAGAATTGGTTCGAGGACAACGCGTCTCTTCGGATGTTGAAGTCAAGACAGCTGTGAGAATTGGTTCCATCAACAAGACAGAGTTACGGTGTACCATCTAGTAACAGCTTGGGCGTTGGCAGAAGTGTGTGGCATCTAGTAACAGCTTGGGCGTTGGCAGAAGTGTGGCATCTAGTAACAGCTTGGGCGTTGGCAGAAGTGTGTGGCATCTAGTAACAGCTGTTGGCAAAGTGTGTGCATCTAACAGCGGCGTTGGCAGAAGGTGTGGCATCTAGAACAGCGTTGGCAGAATGGCACAGTAACAGCTTGGGCGTTGGCAGAAGTGTGTGGCATCTAGTAACAGCTGTGTTGCAGAGGTGTGGACAGCAGAGGTGATTATGTTAACATGTAACTATGACAAACTCGAGAACAAATGTAGGTGTCTGTTTCAGTGTAACATTTCATCCCATTCAGAGAAACAACTTAAGAGGCACAACCTTCAGCAGGCCCTCACATCCACCTCACACCAGTTCACAGACACAATTGTTTTTCTATTAGGTAAACATTTAAACGAGTGGGTGTTGAAGGGTAATCTTTACTAATTAATATTGATGCTATTACTGTGGTGGAGTACAAGTGAAGCAGTTTAGTGTCGTAAGAACACGTGTGATTCTTGTTCCAGGTTTATTAATAACGTGAAATGACGCAGTTACCTCCGCTCAACACACATGATGCATAGTTACCTCCGCTCAACACATATGATGAACAGTTACATCCGTTCAACACATATGATGCACAGTTACCACCGCTCAACACATATGATGCACAGTTACCTCCGCTCAACACATATGATGCACAGTTACCACCGCTCAACACAATATGATGCACAGTTACCACTGCTCAACACATAAGATGCACAGTTACCACCGCTCAACACATATGATGCACAGCCACCGCTCAACACATATGATGCACAGTTACCAATTCGCTCAACACATATGATGCACAGTTACCACCGCTCAAAACTTTTCTCGTTAGCTCTGATAATCTCCTGAAGGCTTCTTGGTCCATTAATAACTAACATAGTCCCTGTGATGCGAGTGTGTTGATCTCAGTGCCTCTCTCAGCTTCAGGAGACAGGATAAAACAACGATGATAATTAAGGCGAAGTTTAGAAGACTTGTGTGTTAACGGGAACTAACTCAGCCTCAAGACGAACAACTCAACAAATGTATATAAAATAAAACTATAAATGTTAATTGTAAACACACAAAGAAAAAATTGGAATAAATTCAAATATATCAATTTATGTTCCTTCATTAATGTATACAGTATAAATAACAACTACGTCTGTGATTTATCGGAAATGAAAATGTTTAAATAATCTGAGAAACGAGGGAAGGAATACACCTCCACCATCACACCTCCACCATCACCAACACACCTCCACCATCACCAACACACCTCCACCATCACCAACACACCTCCACCATCACCAACAACACTTCCACCATCACCAACACACCCACCACTAAACACACCTCCACCAACACCAACACACCTCCACCAACACACCTCCACCATCACCAACACACCTCCACTACACAAGATTACACTAACCTCCAAGGTTTAAGGAGTAAATCAACTTTATTTCAGTATGTTTTGCACTTCAACATTATGAATCGGTCCATATTTTACTGGTGGCTTGCTACTATCTTGAGTCAAATTTCTTTTTACTCTTTTATATATATATATATATATATATATATATATATATATATATATATATATATATATATATATATATATATATATAGTACTGTATCTGGACTTTCTAGGAACGTTTACAGCTCATCAAATAGCCTAGGTACAGTCCCTTCACTAGTGTGTTTACAGGGCTCGTCATATACCCTAGGTACAGTCCTCTCACAGTGCGTTTACAGGGCTGTCATATACCCTAGGTACAGTCCCTTCACTAGTGCGTTTACAGGCTCATCATATACCTAGTTACATTCCCCTTCCACTAGTGCTTATAGGGCTCATCATATAGCCTAGGCACAGTCCCCTTCACTAGTGCGTTTACAGGGCTCATCATATAGCCTGGTGTCCCCTTCACTAGTGCGTTTACAGGGGCTGCTCACATACCCTAGGTACAGTCCCCTCTATAAGTTTACAGGGCTCGTCATATACCCAGGTACAGTCCCTTCACTAGTGCTACAGGGCCTCATATCCCAGGTACAGTCCCCTCACAGTGCTTTACAGGGGCTCATCATATAGCCTAGGTACAGTCCCCTTCACTAGTGCGTTTACAGGGGCTCGTCATATACCCTAGGTACAGTCCCTTCACTAGTGCGTTTACAGGCTCATAGCCTAGGCAGTCCCTTCACTAGAGCGTTTACAGGGCTCATCATATACCCTAGTACATTCCCTCACTAGTCCGTTTACAGGGGCTCATCAAATAGCCTAGGTACAGTCCCCTTCACTAGTGCGTTTACAGGGGCTCATCATATAGCCTAGGTACAGTCCCCTTCACTAGTGCATTTACAGGGCTTCATAAAAACATTCCACAAATTATTAACTCTTGAGATATTTGTTTTAATATTGTTTAAATTTGATTCCATAGTCTGTTTACTATTGCGAGTTTCCTTCTGTTGAATGTAAACAAACACAGCCTGCCACACTGCACTAAACCTAACGAGCCCCTGTAAACGCACTAGTGAAGGGGACTGTGCATTGTATACCTGCACTGACTAGGTAGTGTAAGAATGATACACTAACGCCAAGATACGCCAAAAAACACTGAAAGATATTTACTAAACATATACTTAAGGGTTTGTGTCACAATCAATCAATGTAAGAGTTATCTTACATAATGGTTTTGACTTGACGTAACTCATCTTAAACTAAATTTGCCTTAAATAAACGAAACTAACCTGAGCTTCACTAAACTAACCTGAGCTTCACTAAACTAACCTGAGCACACTAAACTAACCTGAGCTTCACTAAACTAACCTTAGCACCACTACACGAAGTCAACGAAATATCTAAAGGTTATTTATTGTCATTGAGTAATTAAAGAGTGCCATTGTAGCACACAGTTACACGCATAACGAGAGCCACGTAGAAGAATTGGGTGGACAACCAGGATTACTTTTCACTCCTCTTTGTCCAAGATGCACCAATAACTGCACTACACTACACACTATACTAAACACTACACTACACTATATCAAACAAAACACTAAATTAAACACTACACTACACTATATTAAACACTACACACACTATATAAACACTCTAACTATATTAAACATTACACTACACACTATATTAAACACTACACTACACACACTATATTAAACACTACACTATATCAAACACTACCTACACTAAATTAAACACTACACTACACTATATTAAACACTACACTAAACACTACACTATATTAAACACAACACTATTAAATTCTACACTAAACACTATATTAAACACTACACTACACTATACTAAACACTACACTACATTAAGCACTACACTACACTACACTACACTCTATAGTAAGCACTACACTACACTACACTCTCCCAGTTAAATTTATTAATCTCTTAGCTCATGAGCAACTCATAGCTACGGAGCTCTCTGGTGCCGCTAAGTGATTTAACAGAATATGCTGAAGCTGAATTAAATATTAATAAATGGATAGACAATTTGTGCATCAAGGTACAGTACTGGTTCACGGTGTGTGTGTGTGTGTGTGTGTGTGCGTGAAGAGACACTTCGTATCTTGAAAAAACTGAAGATTACTTTAAGTGGCTCCAAAAGAAACACTATAATGTACAATGTGAATACTGTAATGCACACACGTCACCTCACCTACCGTTGTATGATGAAAGTCCTCACAACTGAGCATTTAGTTTCACACCTGATCTCACCATTATAAAGGTAAAAATAAATATGAACACCACACCACACCACACATTTCAAACTGCCCCGACGCCAGTGATGATGGAGAGGAGGAGGGGGGGGGGTGAGAACAGCTACCCGCCGTCAAGTAAGGGTGGAACGGGCCGTACACCTCCACTTCCAATGTACCACGAATTTGTGTGTTGAACTGTACGTTGTCGTGTTTATACCAACCGTGTATATATAGCATACCGAGTGTATTATGCATGAACCACAATACTTCTACGTGTAATGGCATATACTGATGTTCTTTAGTAAGCACGCACAGAATATATTTAGAAACGTTGCAGGTTCAGTGTAGCCAAGTACTAAGGGCCACGTTTTCTAATAGGATCCATCCCAATTTAACCATTAGGATTGGAGCCCGTAATAAAAAAGGACCCATTACGATTGAGCAAGCTAATATGAGCACTGTAGTGTGTTATGCGCCTACAAATACTGCACCAGATGAAGCGAAAGATGCTCTCTATGGTCAACTACAGGATGTTTGGAGTAGTATTCCGGACAGGGACATAGAGATAGTTCTAGGCGACTTTAATGCGAAGGTGGGAAGCGACAACCGTGGCATGGAACATGTCATTAAAAAATACGGATTGGGGGATGGCTAACGAGAATGGTAGGCGTTTGATCAGTTTGTGCTCGGCTAACAACCTCGTTATTGGCGGGACAAAGTTTAAGCATAAAAATATTCATAAGTATACGTGGACATCTCCAGATGGGAGCTATCGCAATCAGACTGACCATGTTATGATTGGCAAGCAGACATGTGCGGACGTATAGAGGTGCGGATGTCGGAAGTGACCACCAAATGGTTGTGGCAGCCGTACAGTTGAAATTAGAAGCGAGAGAGAGAAGCGAGGAACTGACTCGCTATGATACCAAGAAACTGCTAGACCCCAGATTAAAGAAGAGTTTCAATTTGAATGCCTCAACCACTTCATTGTATTGGAGACACTGAATGAAGAGGAACCAGGGTGTCGGGAGGCGAAAACATAAAGGGTGTGGATAATAGATGGACAAACATTAAACAGTTGTATCAGGGCTCAGCTGAGGAAGGTCTTGGAAAAAAAGAGATTAACTTAGCGGAAGAAATGGATCTCAGAAGAGACCTGGACCATTATACTGAAGAGACATACACAGAAAGTGTACAGTATGTTAACAGACTTGAAGGAGATGAGGATGCCCTCAATATAGAAACAGCCAAGTACTGGAGTCTTAATAGCGAAGTTAAACGCTGTGGAAGACATAATAAGCGGCTTTTTCTGGAAAATGTGGCAGAGGCAGCAGACAGGGCACTTAATTCCGGTAATGGACATGGAGTAAGTAAAGCATACGATATAATTAAAGACATCGCAGGTATAGGCAGGAAAAGAAAAAGACTGCCAGTTCGTGCTGTGAACGGAGTTGATAACATGAGAAGAACGTATAAAGGAACGATGGGAAGATCATTTACGGATGGTAATGAATAAAGCCTTCCATAGTACTAATACTCTTACTGTACATCAGCCTGAAGAACAATTGGATGTTAATATGGGTGTCATTACGGTGAGGGAAATTGAAATGGCACTAAAACAGTTGAAGAACTGGAAGGCACCGGGTCTAGAGGGAATAACTGGAGAAATGCTGAAAGCCGACGCGAATGGTGCACCTCAAGTACTATTGAAGCTATTTCAAGAAATATGGAGCACTGAGGTTGTCCCGGATGAATGGAAACAAGTAATCATTATAAAACTGCCCAAGAAATGTGATTTACGAGTGTGGAAACTGGAGAGGGATAACATTAACAGGAATAGTATCGAAGGTTTTCTGTCTGGTCATACTGAACAGGATTCAAGAATCCTTAGACCAAAGGCTAAGAGATGGACAGACAGGGTTCAGAAAATCAAGAAACTGCAGTGATCATATATTCGCACTACGTCACATAATACAGTAGTGTGGAATTCAGAAAACCGTTAATTATGACATTTGTCGATTTTGAGAAAGCCTTCGATAGCGTACATAGACCAACTATGTTGAAAATCTTACGGAACAATGAAATGCCAGAAAAATACGTTCGTTTGATAGAAGAAATTCTTAAGGGCAGCAGATGTCGTGTGAACGTTGATGGCAAACTTTCCCCAGAATTCAATGTCGTGAGCGGGGTGTTGCAAGGTAATGTTTTGTGTCCATTGCTGTTCACTGTACTTATTGATCACTTGAAGATGAGTTTCAGGACAGAATAAGAAAAGGTCATCAAGTTATGGGTATACTGGGCAAAGTGTGGAGGTAACATAGACTAACAGTCCATCCCAAGCTGGGATTATATACTTCACTGGTAAGACCCATTTTGGTGTACTGAAGTGAATCTTAGTGTGATAATGACACTTTATCCAGAAGATCCGAACTTTGGAGAATAAGTCATTGAGAAGAATCTTGAACATAAGATAGCGTGATGGTATTAGAAACGAGACGATAAGAGAAGTCACTAAAGTTCCCTATATTGATGAATGGTTGATGGAGAATAGATGGAGGTGGCTGGGGCACGTTCTGCGTGTACGTCCGGATAGAGTATTGAGAGAGGCGGTCGAGTGGCCGGAACGAGAAGACGAGGAAGACAAAAGGCCTACATGGATCCCAACTATAAGGAGGGAGACAGAGGACGAGTTAAATGTAACCAAGGAAAGGGCTCAAGACCGAAATGGCTGTCGCGAGTATGTGGAGGCCCTTAGCGTCGCACGGCGTTGGAGGCGGTAACAGTAGGTAACGATTGAGCCCATTGAGCGTGGACCTTAGTTAACCAGTCACCATTTAGTAAGCTGTAATCCCGTGGTGAATCAAGTGTTAATATTGACTAAAGTTTTAAACACGTTAAATTCCGCCAATTTCCTTCATCTCCCTTAATTAAGATAAGCTGGATTATGCATCCATATACATAATTAACATCCATGTATATCATCAACATCCATGTATATAATTCCTTACGCTTACTGTATAATCACGGCCAATCGTTCCTGCCCTACATGATGGAGTAAAGCCACAGATCATGCTAAAATATCCTCCCTTATGGAACAGGATATTTTATACATTTGTCGTCTCAACTTTACAGAGAAGGATTCAAGTGTCTTTGGTTAGGTTAGGTTAGGTTAGGTTGCAGGTGATAATGATGTAGCCAAAATACCTGCATTTGGTCACCTTCCCAGAGGTCATTGTTGTAGCAGTAACTGTACCTAATGTGGGAACGGCCGGTAATGCTGCCGATAGCTGCTGTTAAGAACCTTCCCTTATATTGGAAAACGATAATGCTTAAGTCTATACATTTACGGAACACAAAATTGCTAAAAGAAATTTATATATTTGTTTTATAGAATAGGATAATGGTTTTGGGGGGACTCTAAGTACGAATATCCTTTATCTCATTCTAAACCCCTTATCCTATCCTAAAACATCCTTATCCTATCCTAAAATACACCTATCCTATCCTAAAACCCCTTATCATATCTTAAAACATCTTTATCCTATCCTAAAACCCCCTATCCTATCCTAAAACTCCCTATCCTATCCTAAAACATCTTTATCCTATCCTAAACACCCATAATTATAGGGTAAACTCCTTAACTAAAGACACCCCTTAAAACCCCTTAGATAAAAACGAAATCCTATATCCAATAATAAAATCTCCTTAAGTAATATCAATATTATCCTAATCCTGTTTATCAGACCGATAAAATGATTCCTTGATTTTGCTTCCGTCAGTAAGTGTATCCAACCGTCCGTCCATGCGTTCGTACGACGTATGGAAGAACATTCAACTTGAGTGCGTCCGTATTTGTGTTTAAGTACAGAACCTTAATGTTATCAGTCCCTGTGTTTACAATATCCTCAGCCGCCTCACTTCAATACCCAACTGCGACACGAGATCGGGTCTAGTAATACAGAGGACAGAGCTTCAATCTTTACACTAATTCCCGTTAGTTATGTTAATATAGGTTAGGTTAGTGTGAGGTTAAGTTAGGTTAGGTTAGTGTAAGGTTAAGTTAGGTTAGTGTGAGGTTAGGTTAGGTTAAAGTGAGGTGGGTTGTTGCAAGACCATAAATCTTTAACATGGGCGCGTGAGGATGTCCTCCTCCCTCACTCTTCACGTCTCAGCAACTTTTTATTAAGGCCTCCCGGGTTAGGCTTATGTCTTGTGTCTTTTTGACTTCAACTGTTTCAACGACGCGAGTTTTTTCTCATTTATTTAACCAGATTATATGTATGATCTGTGACCAATCGGAGGCCGCCATTACTGTACAGCATATTCTATACTGAAATAATTAGAAGGTAACATTTTAGTGAGGTGTTACGGCGTGATACGGGCGTCTGAACAGAGAAAATGTTCCTGCACGGATGTTTGGCCTCTGTCACGTAAATCATTAAAGTGACGTTTAATGAGAAGGTATTAGACGTCATAAATGAATTATAATGAAGCCCAGAGCCATGGCTGCCCGTTAGGACAGTGTGGAGAGTAAGTAGGGACTGTACTGCACTCGGACGCCTTCACCTCCCCCATGTCGTAGACTTGGGTACACATAAACAACCGAATGAAATGGTACAGTCCGGGAATCGAACTACCGAGCATGGAACAGGAAGCGGGCGATGTATCCACTCGCTTGACCCAGGACACATGTAAAGCGGCCACACTTCCGCTGGAGGAAGACTGCCATTGTAGAGCAGAGCAGAGCAGAGCAGAGTAGAGCAGAGTAGAGTAGAGCAGACCAGAGTAGAGTAGAGTAGAGCAGAGTAGAGCAGAGCAGAGCGTAGCAGAGCAGAGTAGAGTAGAGTAGAGTAGAGTAGAGCAGACCAGAGCAGAGTAGAACAGAGTAGAGTAGAGCAGACCAGAGCAGAGTAGAGCAGAGCAGAGTAGAGCAGAGTAGAGTAGAGCAGAGTAGAGTCGAGTCGTTTTTTGCATTTCCTTTTTTCAGGTTTATAAATAAGCACAGCACATTATAGTAGTGGTGGTTGAAATAAAAATTTTTTGTCAGAATAATGTTTCACTGCTGTATAAAATAAACACCAGCTTTATACCTCACACACACACAGGTTAATTTAATAACTTCACCCAAAAATAAATAATAAATATCAGGAATTTTAATCTTACCCAGAAAGCTCGTTTTAAACTACAGATAGCCCCCCCCCCCTCCACACACACACGGGTGACTGAATACATATTATTGACGTACATGAGCAAAATCCTAACCTAACCTAACCTAACCAGTAGAGACACGTTAATACATACAACTGTGCCGTATTTCTTTCCCTGATAACAGTGGGTAGGAGGCGGCCGAGAGCATCTGACACATGTTGGTGTTTTGTGGTGGAGAGTTACCCCGAGCTACTGAGGCCACCACCCATGAGGTGATCTTTACCTCAAAGCTCCATACATTATGAGAGTGGAGGTGTAATAAGTCTTAGTCACAGCCACACTATACTCTTGCTGTGTCTCTTATATAGTTACTCTAAATTAACCTTGTTTATTACCCAACTATTGTGACTGTGGTTCACTTTACCTGACGTTACCAATACTTTGTTTCTGTGCTTGTTCCTTCCTCAACTTACCTGACTCATGTTGTTTGTAAAAAAACAACAACATAAAATGTGTTAGTTATGTAGGGTGATTCATTACTGTATCACACACTCCTCCACGCTCATTAATTGTTGTTATTTTAATGTAGTTGATGGATGACTTGTCACGAGAGCTGCAGCCCTAAGAGGGCTCAGGCCTGTATTACAACGGTACAAATTATACTTGAACCAAACTCAACTGTAACACCAACACCTGGGAGAGGCGGCAGGGCAGGGAGAGAAGTGTGTGTGAGAGAGACGGAGGAGGAGAGAGGCTCACCGCCAGAGGGGGAGAGTGAGGCAGTAATTATGAAGAAGGTAACTCCCTCGCCGTCGGGGCAGACAAATATGCTCATCATATCATTCAAACGGAAAGTTGTGAATTAATGCTAACTAGATCTCCCGGGCGAGTGGCTTTAACAAGCAGACTAAAAGGGTGTATTTTATGTAGTCACTTCTCTCGTGTGTGTGTGTGTGTGTGTGTGTGTGCGCGCGCGCGCGCGCACAAGGTGGTGTAATGCACCAAGTGTGGCAGCATAATGTTAGTGTTAAGGTGCAAGCACTGCTAGCTTCCTCTCGCTTTCAGCTGCCGCCGCTGGCTAGCCCTCGTGGCGAACGGGGAAGCAACTTACATAAGTCTTCCCCTGCCAGTACACAGCCTCTTCACCATCAAGACTCCTGCTGTGCCTCCTCGTGGCAACATACAATAACTGGGTGCCTCGTGGGCCCAGGCTAGACCAGCAGGGGATCTCAGAATGGCAGTGGGCCCCAGAGGGACGCGCATAGGCCCACTAGCATGTGGACACGTCCTGGCGCCTACCAGCCACTGCCCCGCTGCCTTGAGGAAGTAAACTCAAAACTAAAAAATATGTGGTGGAGCCCCGCATCAGGCAGACATACTTGCAGAGCTCCAACAAGACCCCAACGACGATGTAGGCAGAAGTGTCCACCATGAGAACCCAACGACTACACCGGCAGACAAAGGTAATGCCTGATGGACAGGCGACTAAGGCGAAACCCAACAACCTGGGCTATCGGCAGTTCATTGCAACTCTCCCTCTCCCCAGTCGTTACAACACCTGCACCACTGGATCAGGAAAAGGGAGAGCCAAGATGTGTGGTTGCAGCCTGCGCTCCTGCCTCACCACATAAATCAACACACGCACAGCCATCACCCAGTTCATCATTCTTCTCATCATCAAAACCCCTATACCCCCCAAAATCCTATGGCGACAGATGACTGCCGGGAGTCTCTAGTCACAACTCTGCACATGGGCGACATAAATAAGATGATCGTTTATGCACTGGGATCTAGACAG